TCTGGGTGTATTCACGGAACGTGGGCCGCCTCAGGCCCCTGCATATGTTTGCATTTTCACTCCAAACTACAAGCAAAGACATGTTCCAAATGAGACAAAAGAATTGTCCGCAAAGTTTGGTTCCTGAAGCTAATCAGGCTACACACACACAGCTCTCCCGGAGGAGGGCATGTTATCAGCAGAGCTCATCGCAGCTCAATAAAGAGCGTCTAAGAACAAGGCCTTGGTCAGTAATAATGGGACAGGAAAAGAGAGAGGAGAGAGGAGAGAGAGAGAGGGAGAGGAACCTGACAAGGATGCCTAAACCACAACCAGGCCTCGAAGAGCACAGCGAAGAAGGAGACAAAGAGGAAAAAGGCAAAAAGGTACAGGTAGAACTGCCTGCGTGGCCCGCAGAATAGCGACCCAATAGTTCCCGAGCGAAGATAACGAGCCTGTTTAAACCCAAGGGCCCAAAACCGACGCCGACACCGAACACCCGCCCAAACCCCGTGACGAGACTAAGAAACCCACTAAACCACAACCAAGCCTTGAGGAGGAGGACAAATGGGAAGAGGCAGAAAACAAAGTCGTGGAAGAAGGCGGATCTAAGTTAGGGGGCGACCCCGAGAGAGCCTTGAGCCTGTTTGGGGAACCTGAGCCCAAAACACGACTCGAAAACGAAAAAAGAAAAGAAACGAGAAAGACCCACCCAGAGGCCGACAACCTCACCAAACCCACCGTCCCGACCGACCCGAGCCCCATAAGTAATGACTAAACCACAACCTTGCCTACTACAGGAGGAAGAAGGAGACCGTGGCACCGATGTACATATCCTTGCCTCAATCCCGTCTCTCAAGCGGTGGATTTCTTATTGGCTCAACAGCCGGCTGTACTTGGCACATCGGCCACCACCGGCGCTACGGTCCTGCTTAATGCTGATGTTGCCTTGACCACCTCGTCTAGACTTCTCGAGTAATTGCTATCGGAGCGCATCTTGGCTTCGGGCCACTCACTCCTTCTCCCTCGTTGTATCGGACAACGAGCCGACCCGAGGCACAAGCGGGCACACGGGTTCCCCGTTAGGGGTCACACTGGCATATCAGAACTCCCCTCGTCGATTGTGCATGTTCAAGGTTCGACGCTTGGTAGGCCATGTGCTGCCAAAGATCTGCTGCTGACCGAAACTATTTTCATGCAAATACAGACATACAAATCCTACATGCAAACTGCCATGATTTGGGGGTGGGGGCCACCAGCTGTCACGTAGGACCCAGGTGCACCCCCTGAGGTTGCCAGCTGCCACGCCGGGCCCAAGCCAACCTCCCCCCTGCAGGTACGTTTTTCTGGGAGGGGTGGGGGAGCTTCGTTGGACAGGGCTCCCCACCCCTCCCCCCTGTCTCCCTGCATGCATGTTTCCAAACTGCGCTAATTTTATTCCTGAAGCAAATCAGGCGCCACACACACACACACACACACACACACAAAAGCACCCACGGTGCTTTGTTTTTTGTTCTGCGTGCTTTCTTTACCTTCCCATGGAAAGTTGACAGAACAAAAACATTAGCAAATGCCAAACAAAAAACACACAGAGCAAAAAGCAAGCTCTTACCAGGGCGTTTTTTTTTTGCTTGGCGTGCGCTGCATAGCTTTCCAAGGTTTCTAGGATTTTTCCAGAAAATCACACATTTTTGTCAAGATTATAGATTCCCTATAAGGACTGAGGGCACAGCATGCCAAGCCAAAAAACCGAACACACACACACACACACACCTAGGGTGTAGGATGTTTTTTATTGTTGGTTTTTTTTTTGGGCTACGCGTGCATTCTGTTGCTTCTCATGGGAAACTTGACTGTGCATGCGGACCAAAAACGGAAAAAAAAAGACAAACAACAACACACGCAGAGCAAAAACCAAAACACTCTTACCGTTCAAATGAGCTGAGCTTTGACTTAATTCGAGTTCGTCTAAGCTTTTGTTACCTCAAACTGCTGCATGCCCCACATGACCTCTGAGTTTTCATGTCATTCCAGAAACAGCGCGGTGTGAGTGCTTTGGCATGGGCTTGTTGTGGAGGGACTTCGGGTGGTGTCAGGGGCAGATTCGCAGAAGTGCTGGTTTCAAAATGCACCGCTTCCTGTGATCAAGAGGATGGGAACACTATGACGAGGGTGCGTCTGCAAGTTGACGACACAGTCAGCTTCACTCAAACTGCCGGCCAGTGTCCTTAACTGAACTCATTTGTCTTATCTTCAGGGCTTCCGAGTTCGGATGAATAGACTGTTAGATTTTGTTTTTGGTTGATGAGCTGGTGTGTGTGTGTGTGTGAGTGTGGACAGGTCTCATCTCATCCTTCAAAAACGGTAAGTACAGCACACGCACCTGTTATGGCTACCTCTTCTATCCTTTTTCGATGCGTCAAAACGCCAGATTGTGTCGTCTGAACTCGTTTCTGCTTATGGATAGCTCTCCATCTGGCAACTGCAGGGGTACATTGGCTGACGGCGGCTGGCTTGTGAATTTCGGAAAGTACCGTGCTGAGACTCCACGAAGGTACCAGTTCATCAGACAAACTCAATGTGTTTGTAGCAGGTATAAGGGCACCTCCTTTGCGGAGGCGCTACTTACTTTTCTCAGATGCATTTCTATTGCTTTGTCCAGCTCTTGCCCTAGGTTTACTCCAAAGACCCCCAGTACTGTGAGTTCATCACAAACTCGGTCCTTCTAGCGGACGATCAAAGCAAGGCGCGCTGTACTTATTTTCCGTGTGGCCTTGTAAGGACTGTTTGTGCGTCTGGTTTACATGCAGGCGCCATCGAAAGATTCGCTGGCCTTTGCAGCCTACATCCAACACAGAGCCCGGCAAGAGGATAGCTGAGCGGAGTAGGGCTTGCGCATTGCGTTGTAGACTACGCATCTTCCAACATTGCGAACATAAAAATCGAGGAGCATCCGTTCCTAGCATCTTATGTGAGGTATCTCAATACTACTGACTGCCTTCTTCAAATTGCAAATGCATAGACGGGCCATTGAAACACATCGTATCTTGACTATGCAACACAAGCTTGCAGATTGGTTTCGCGGTGGCACGGTTAACAAACAGGCTTCTGCGCGCGGACCCTTCAAGGGAGTTGTGAAAAGGTGCTGAGTGCATGGAAGAAACGGAGGTCAACTGCTTTGATCTGAGTCTGCCAAGCAGGTCGCTCAGGAGACGTACGACTCCTTCCGGGATGAGGCGGTTCTGCTTCCCATTTCCTTCCTAATCTTTCTTTATTCAGTCTTGTCCATTGTGTACTCACTGTAACAGGTGTTGAGAGAAAGCCTGGCGGTCAGTGCTGACCTCTTCACCACTGAACCTTGTCAAGATGCACGCTGAGTGCTGCCCAGGTGAAGCATCCCAAAAAATGTGGGCCCAGTGGTCAAAGGAGTTTTCACTTCTCAAACGGGCTGCTCGAGTTTCGTATGTGCTTGACATGTGGCAAGGACAGTAAGTTGGCGGAGCACCACAATGTCATGGTCCAACGATCCTCGCAGAAGTACTGCGCTCATTTCAGTTTGTCAATGCATGCAGATTCTCCTGCTTTTGCCTCAGGCGCAACCAGCTCCTGGATGAGCTGCGCAAAAAGGAGGCTGAGGCCTCTTTTGAATGTGGTCACTCATTCCATTTCGAGACTGGAGTGGCATGAGTGGCGGTCAGGAGTGCACCTTTCAGCCCAAGACATTGTCAAGAGGAAGCCCAAGGACCTTCTCGCGACCGGACTCGACAGGCACATGCAGATCAAGCATGCTCAAGGAGCAACAAAGTCAAAAAATGATGTTTGTCTGCCAAGCTCTGGAAAAGCATGTAGGCGAAGTGAAATGGGAGCAGCGTCTTTGCCACAGTAGATGTTTTCTTGGTCGTCTGCATCTTTGCCTGAAGCAGAGTTTTTCTAGGCCTGGACCAGCGCAAGCGCGATCAGCGCCTAAAGCAGGTGGAGGCTGCATGCGTACCGGGCATGCCGGGCCCAGCTGGTACATGTTCCATTTTGTTTCTTTCGAAGGCACAGCATTATGCTGAGCTGACCCTGAAGCCGAAGATCAGCCCATTTGCCCAGGTTGGGATGGGATCTTGGGATCAGCTGGAGCGCCTCTTGCGGAGCACTTGTTTCCTGCAGGCCTGGAGCCAAAAGCAGGCCGAGGCGATGGCCTTACAATCAGGAAATTCATTGACCTCGGGCGCTGCCAAGCAAGTTCCAAGGCTGTTCGCGAAAGTCAGACTGCCAACAGCGTCTTTGAACGCCTTTATCAGGCAGCGCTGCAACAGGTCTGACCCCTTCAGCTTGCCAAATCACATTTCTGGAGCTGACGAGAACGGCAAGACACATCTGGCTGCCGAGGAGGAGAAGCAGACAGCCGCCAAAAGAGAGCGGGAGTCTGACCAGGCAAGGTAAATGGCCATTCGAGCTTTGAGCAAAGCCTTTGCTTTGCAGGCAGAGTGCCTTTCTCCGCCCGCAACGGTCAGCAATCGCAACTCGCCACCGCGAAGGCCACTTTTGCAAAGTCACCAAGCGCGGCGGAGCACGAAGCGTTTTGCAGCCTTCACCGGAGTGAGTGGGATGCCTATCAAAAGATATTATCACAAAATCAAACCATGCTCAACAATAATGTAAATCATTATCCAAAAACATCAAGTATTCCATCATCCGAATGCGGACAGTCACAGGGATCGTGGGGGCCGGGGTCGCGATCCTCCTAACTGTCCCCGCTTTTACACTCGTGGATCCTCTTTACGTTTGAAAAGTGTCAACCGTCATAAAGGTGGTGGGCCTTGGTCGGGGTCGCGATCCTTGTACCCTCACCTCGGAGCACAGGGATCGTGGGGGACGGGGTTGCGATCCTCGTGACCGTCATCGCTTTGACCTTCAGATCCTCTTGGGGGAGAAGAAAAAAGTAGCCAGGAAAACGAGAAAGAACGCAAGTCTCTGGTGAATTCACGAACCTTTGGCGGGGCATCGTGTTTGGATGAGCACCAATCGCCTTTCTACTTTTAGGAGAAGTCTGACGTAAGCCCCTGCCTGGCGAGACAGGAAGAACGCAGGGGAAGTTTTCCAGTAGTTGTGGAGTTGGCTTCTTGCATCTATTTTTCGGGAGGTTTTATCTTGGTTCATTCTTGTCCTAAGCGGACAGCGTTATGGAGAAGTTCACATTTCGTTGTTGTTATGGAAGCCAGCCCGGGATGAGGATTGTCGGGATGCACTGGGCGGAGAGAGAGAACTGAATAGGGTGGAGGCTTAGATGGATGTCTGTACAATTGGACGGACCAGCCACCGACCTGTGGAATTCTGAAAGGTAGCAACAGGTGAGGAAAGTCACGAAATCCACTACTAGATGGGAGCAGAGTTTAACAACAGGAAGGACCAACCACAAATTTGTGGAAGGTCAACCCAGATTAAGATAGGCAGCTTTTCCATTTTTCATGCAGGGTTGGCAACTCAGTGCAAGAGAGCCTTATGGGCAACAGACCTGGAAAGAATCGGAGCGCGACTGCTCGATGGGAGTATGACCCGATGGCATCTGGTGATCACTGGCTTGGTGAGCGCTTGCCGTTTAGCTGACTTGCACGCAGCGAGGGGAGGCGAGCTAGAGAACTGAATTCAAAACAACTCAGAGGAGAAACGGTGCAGTAACCTGCCCACGGATCTGTGGAATGTTTATTGACGCGACTAGGGGAGCCAAGGGAAATTATCTGGAGTAGTGATAGATTGTGCGACGAACCCCACTGATCGCGAGTAGTAAGCAGTAAGGAACAAAATTAGGTCTTGAGGGACGGTGTGATGTAATTCCTTGTGACATTGTTGTCATTAAGCGTGAAAAGTCCCAGGGCCGGGATGAAAGTGGTTTGACATCAGGAGCTCCCCATGCACTATGGGCCGTAGAGTAGGCAGCTGCAACCCCAGAGAAAACGCCACTGGGCAGGAAAAACCAACATCAAAACTGCCCTCGAAAGAAGAAAATGAAAAACAACGAGGGCGTTCCGCGCGGGAGCGGGCCCCAACTGTTCACAGATAAGCTGTTGATCTACAGTTCGATGCGATGTTTTGAGCGTGCTTCTGGAATGCATTGGCTTTATTATCGATGATGCTGGTACCCTCGTAGCATTAAGCCCCGGCTACTCGCCTTGTCAGCGTCACCTTTTCCTTGGAGCCACTTTGAGAGTGATTATACTTTGTGTGCGTGCGGATAGTACTGTATGTGAGGTGGTGTATTTAGTTTCCTTGGATGAGATGCACCAGCTTTCCCGGGAGGGTTCTCCAGTGTCACCAACCGCTTGAGTACGGAGACGCGTGATATTTGGTCCACATGACTTTGGGCCCCTCTAGGCGCTTTAAACTTGATTCTCAGGCTGCGACTTACTGTGGACTGTAAATTCTGCATGTCCCGATCCTTGCGTGGGTCACCACGAGACGCGGACGTGCTGGGCAGCGGGGTGCAACCCCAATGAGGGTCCTTCGGGATTTCCATATGCGCCTTCAGAAGGGGAGAGGTACGTAAGAAAGAAGAGCGCTCCTCAAATGGTATAGACAGCTGCCGAGAAGCAAGAAGCCCAGGGGAATTGCCGCAATGCTCGGCTTAGTGGGAGGAACACCACATGGGTACGCTATATCTATATCAGCGCAACAAGTGGTGAAACAACTCCAGCAGAGCGTCAGAGAAGGAGAGGAGCAGGACCCCATAGTTACGGCAGTGATGGACCTGGTCTGATTCAAGTGATGTAGGGATCCTGGAAAAAGTGCTCAGAAACGTTGCTAAGCATGTCCACCGGGACCAATTCACTAGGGCAGCGGAACAACTCAAGCAAACGCGGAAGAAAGGCAAGGCTGCAGGCAGTGAAGTGCAGCGAGGTCAGCTACTTCGGCCGCAAGTTTGGGGTGCAGGTTCAGCAGGGCAATCCAGTACGTCAAGTACACGGATCACTTCGGAAGCTTTCTGGGCGATGGTGGACGTCAATGTCGACAACCCGGCAACATATCGCAGTCTTCTCCAACTCCTGCGCCTAGGACAGTTTTGGGAAGCTAGCCAGAAAGAGCGCATCCTTGCGTCGGTCATTGGCCAGCTCGATGAGAGAGAAGTCAAAACACACGCTAGCCTGATCTCCCGGCTCTATACCAGGGTAGAAGAAAGCGAGGAACCAAAAGAGCTCTTGGAGTTGAGGATAGCCCTGAGGAGCGGTCGGAAATGCAATCAACGAGGAAGAGCTAGTAAATGTCGGCGCGCAAGAGGCAGACGCAAACAGTGAAGAGGAAGATGAGCGAGAGCTGCCAAAGTCAGAAGATCAGGAGAGAAAAGAGAAGTCGGCGCGCCCAGGAGGTAGAAAGAAAAAGGCCCCCAAACTGACAGAGAAATCAATAGCTGGCCTATCTCGCCTCGCCAGAACAAGCTCGTCGGCAAGCAGGGGACAGGGTGACACAACCGAGAGGCCGACGAAGAAGCTACTGGGCCGGGACACCGGCTCGATCAAAACTCACGCGCTGGATATAGCCAGCAAGCCCAGCGGGGCCCATGAGCTGCAGGGCAGTGAGAGACTGGTAGATGCCGTTGCGCAGACTTGTGGACACAGACGAATCCTGGTGGGCCACATGGGCAACAACAACCAGAAGAGTTACAAGAAGCGTAATCAGAGGACGGGCACGACGTGATCACACAAACCGTATCAATACCAAGGCAGGGCGGCAGAGAGGGGCCAAGAAAGCAACATCCAGTCGGAAGAGGACCAGGGAGCGCCTATGGAAGCGGAAGTCGCCAACCACATAGAAGAAGACGAAGAACAGGCACGATGGACAAATACCAGAGTGATGGATGCCGAAGGCAATTGGAGAAGGCCAACCCTAGAGGAACTACCACCGTTGCAACAAGCAGGGGAGCAACAAAATGAGGAGGAGGCAGTTGACGGGGCAATGGAAGGGGGCATCAGTCGGAGGAGGAAGTTGAAGAAATTGTGGACAAACGTGCGAGAGTCGGCGGTTCGGGGCCAAGAAGAAGTCATGGGCACGGACTCTGAGGAGAGCACGTTAGCGCTGCCACTCAATTTTGCAAGCTTTTCCCCAAGGCGCTTGGGTATTACGTGGAGCGTGTACCCGCAGGGGGACCAGGTTCTTCTGAGGACCGTAGTTTCCAGGCAGGGCCCGGCAGGGCACCAGGCGAGCCGATGTAAGCAGGGGTGACTGGGTCGATTGTCGTACATTTGGGGCTTAGTTTCCTGACAGGTTTGAGTCGTGCCTGCAGCCACTGGGAACCCGGCGTGCACTTGTCTGTCCATGGTACGTCCAGCCCCAAAGTCGTAGTTTTGGAATCAGTCTTTCTGTAGGAAGCGCCTAGCGAGTGTTGGCCACTCAAATCTATCTCAAGCCACAGGGCGAACAAAAGTGAAAGCAAGAGCCTCGTAACAAGAAGTTTCGTCATCCTCTCCGGGGCTGGGGCAAACCTTGTTGTTTTTCGTACCGCAGTGGAAAGGGGGCCGATAAAAGCAAGGCTGCTAAAGCGGAGCACGTGCTGGGCGAATAATAGTTGACAACTTGTGCTTTTGACAGTTATGCTGTTGCTTGGCAGAGTTATCAGATCAGTTGTCAATGGTGAGAGTGCTCGAGGCGCGCTAGGAGGGGCTAAGGGCCGGGTAGCAAGCCAGCTGTTTTGACGTGTGTCCGGGCATTCTGAGGATAGGAGTAGCAGGTTGCTTTCCTTTGTTTAAAGAGTAGCGGGTTGCTTTTCCCTCGTTTGAATGGTTGTCCCCCGGCACAACTCATACCTTATGGGTGACTCGACTGGCTTCCAGCAAAGCAGGTGGTGCGGGAGCCTTAAGGATTGTAGTCAGTCGCGGAGGCAGGGATTCATTTAAGCGTGTTGGGTCAGATTTTTGAGTAAAGGAACCCCCTGGCGACTGGAGTGTGCCGGTGCCCCACTGCATGTACATGACGACTTGCCAACTGTGCTGTTTTGGCGGTGGGACGGTGGGAGGTTTCACAGCTGATGCTTCTAGCGATGAAGGCTATGTGCAGGATGCAAGGGAGTATGCGCTAGCTAGTTTTCATCCTGGAGGGGGGCTTTTACGCATTCTTTTCGTCTTCGCATCTCTGTGCATATCCGGTAATCGGGTCCGGGCTCAGTGATCGACGGAGTGTTCTCCCTCTTGGGGCTTTGCTCCGCCCCCCTCCTTGGAGGAGGTAGAGCAGTGAGAAGAAGAAAAAGAAGAAAAAAAACAAACACTGAGCTTAGAAAAGAGATGAAAAGAGACATTGGCCCGCAAGGCCTGAGCCTTAAGCCCTAAAGGGAGATGCCCGCAGTCCTAGCCATGTAAACCTCCGGGGAACCCGCCGTATCAGATCAGATGCATGTCCACGTTCGCAGTAAAGGAAGGTTGTGCTGATCATTTTGTTTGCAAATGGCCTCCATTTTTTAAAGGCCGTCCATGCTTGCAATAAAGCAGAAGCATCTTGGCAGCATTTTGTCATCACCATGAGTGCAGAAGCGGAAGGTTGTGCGGATCATTTTGTTTGCAAATGGGAAGTCGCCCCGTTGAGGGTCCAACAGTGACGACAATTACAAAAATCGCGACCCCGACCCCCCAATCCTTATGACCGTTGACGCTTTTCAAACTCTGAAAGGATCTGAAGGTCCAAAAGCGATGACAGTCACGAGGATCGCGACGAAGACCACCTTGATTTTTCGAAATCCAAAGGGTCCGAGGGTCAAAAAGCCAGGACAATTAATTGACAAGGATCGCGACCCTGTGACAGTTTGCACTTTTCAAACCCCAAGAGGATCTGAGAGTGTAAAAGCGGCCCCGACAGTTACGAGGATCGCGACCCCGACCCCGACGATCCTTGTGATGGTTGTCTTTTTTCAGAATCCAAGGGGGTTGGAGGGCCCAAAAGCGATGACATGTATGCGGGATATTTTTTGATTCTTTTTTAATTTCTTTTGATCTCCAAACGTCAGGATTCCCACTTCTGAGCTCCTCTACAGTGATGCTCTTGATCGACGAGAGCGTCTTCGCATTATGACGGACTGAAATATTTCAGCATGACTTCAAAACAATCATGGATAGTGGAGACTAATCCTGCAGGAGCAGATGCAGCTGCGACGCGAAGAAGAAACCAAGGAACGCTGTGCAGCGCCCTCCTAAGACTTTCGCTCAGGCAGCTGACGAGAGTCTAAGTTAGATTTCCGGTACTTGCATTTGTAAAGGCTTGTCTCTGATGAAGCCAATGGGCTTAGAGATCATGAGTACAGACCATCCAACTCGTAGTAGATCCGACCAGCGGCTCCCAAGCAGTGGCGATCTCTCGCCGCGAGAGGTCGCGCTCAACTGCAAGGACCCATTTGCTTATCACGCCTACCGCGATTTCAATACCACGCTGAAGGTGCTCTACAAGTCCAGCCGGTTGTATTACCAGCTTATTGAGAAGCAGATCAAGGTTCCAGAGACTCTGCTGTCAGTGAACTGCCACGTTGGTAAGAATGTGTCCTGACAAAGGCAGCGTTTGATGGAGCTACCAACGGCCAGCCGCAGCTTGCTCAAGCTTCTTTGGAGGACCTAGTAATTACTTGAAATTGTTGCGAAGATGGATCAAATTGTCTGGATCCATGGAAACCTCAGGGTGCGCAGACACTCCACTGGTCTTGAAAAGACTCGCAGTCCACGCACAGTTCCATGTCCAACGTGCAATCGCCTGTGCAAGGCGATCATTTTGGTTCTAGTAGGGCGTATGGTCTTGAAAAATTGGGTTCTTTTGCTTGGCACGCCTCTGGCTTTGGGGAGGACTTCTTGGTCCGCTTCAAATGCATGAGGCCCAGAAAGAACGGCGAGGCCTATTGCTTGTTCATGCGCAGGGTGGTCCTCTTAGTCTGCTTTATGGTTGTCGTGCTCGTCACGGTCATCGTGCTCGTCGTTGTCCTCGTCTTCGTTTCTGAGCGGTGCACATAGCTGCTTGGGATCCATTGGCAGTGACCTGACGCTGCTGCAGAGGGTTGTGTGCTTCTTGGTTCGAAGCTGTGTTAGTGGCTTGTTCCACGCTGACCCCCTGGTGCTGTATCCAATCCAGCGACGTTCCCATGGCCGCAAGGAGCTTACTGGTACGGAGTCATGACCCAATGTGCAGTGTTGCGGGCTGTCATTTGTTCATAGGCACTGCCTGCCAAGCAAGGTGATAAGCAAAATGGCATCTGCGAAGGGCAGCCGCACCCCTGCGGTGGTGGCAGGTTCTGCATGCCCAGCACGACAAACTTGCCTTCCAGTCCTTCGCAGGTGCGGCAGCGCTTCTGATGGCTCCAACCTTCTTGGCCCCAAGTGAGGTCCCCCGACAAGCGGAGGTGGGAGAAGACCTCTGGACATGAGTAAATTTATCCAACCGAGAACCCAGTTCTAGCCAACAGGTGCGCCAGTCACGCGCTGCCTCGTCTTCCAGTCACAATGCTGTGAAGAATGGCAGTCAAGCTTCGGCATTTGGCACGGCAAGTGCTGCTGCCATAGCCGGTGCTGCTGCAGCTGCTGGCTCCAGCTGCTGATCTCAAAGTTCATGCCTTCGCAGAGGTTCACGAGATCCAAGCCGCAATGCACATCCATTTGTGGCTATGAGGCCGAAGAGCCATTGGCAGAGGCAACTCATCATCGTTGCGATCAAAGTCGCAGCAAGAGGTTTGGAAGTCAACCGTTCACCACCAATCGAGCCAAGCTTCTGAGCCAGGAATTTTCTGTGAGCATTTCTCGTTTGATTTCTCTGGCCAACGCGCTACTGCAGAGGCCAGCACCAGGCATTGGTGGGTTGCACAGACTTTGTTGTTGCTGCCCGATTCGTGTTTGAGCCTACTTGATGGCTAAGCCTTCAATGCTTGGCCTCAGATCAGCTTCAGCAGCTGGTTCGCGAGCTGCAGTGCTTCGCGGCAGCGGAGCTTCAGCGTTCTGTGAACCTCTCGGCTTCTGTGGGCCGTGCCTTCGCAGAAGTCGTTGCAGGCGCCGAGGCCGGGCGAGGGTGGTTTCTGCCTCTAGGAGAAGCTCGCTGGATTTCTACGTTGCCAGGAGGCGTCGCGGTCTGGTGCGGAGGGGCAGCTTCGCTGGGCCGCCAGCGCTGCTGCATCTCTTCTGCTGACCTATACAGTCACCCTGCAGCCCCTCGCTGGAGATCTAGGTGCTGGAAGCAAGTCGCGTATTCGAGTGGTAGTAGCAGCCTA